TGCTTTTCTTTTTGCAGGATATTTTATGAGTTTAATGTTCTTACAAGCAGTCCAACAATATTTGTTTAAAATAATGAGCTCAGAGGCATACATAGTTCATAAGTTCTTCTGTTCAGACTTCAGTATTTCAAATCACTCATCAATACTTCATGTCTTTTTAGGATTCACATGGCTCCATTTTCTGATGAATACCTTTATGTTGAAATGGCAAACAAGGTACTAAATCATTGCTAGGTTTTCCTTACACTATAGCTGTATAATGCCCTTTTGTAATGCTTTATTAATGTTACTGTAAATTATCATATGAAAATGCATCTTTGTAGTTTTATTTTTGCTTTCTCGAATATTGTCTTTTGTTTATCCTCAATATATGAGGGAATAGCACCCATTCTTAATGATGAAATGTTCAATCTTTCCTATCCATGAGAACTGCGTAGGGCTGGGCTCAACTTAATAGGAACAATGCTATTTTTTTTTTGTTCGAGAAAAAAAAATAGCAGTATTGCATAGACTGAGGATTGAAGTCCAGTGCTGCATCACTGGACATTGTAACTTATCTAAAGCAAATATTACAGTACACCTGTGGGCTAGTAGACTACTGGCTAATCACGGGGATTCTGAGCCTATCTAATTGCAGTAGTTTTTCTGTTCATCTTTTGTCTTGGTAATTAAATTATGAAAAAAGTCTTCATCAATATTTAGTATTCCATGAGCCATCCATCAAATATTAAAATAATATGCCTATAAAAATTCCCCTAGGTTTCAAAGTAGGATAGGAAGATACCACACCACCAACTGCTATGTTTGATACCTTTGTTGGATGTTTATATTTTAATGTGGCAACTTCACTTTGGCAGCACTTTTGCAGTTTTGCTTATTCATAATTGATTTTGTTATTTATGTTGCCATCTTGTTAGAAGGGCAGGCCTGGTGCAGTGGTGAGAGCTGTCTCGCTGAGTCATCAGGTCGTGGGTTCGAAGCAGCCTCTCCGCAGATTTGCGGGGGGAAGGCTTGCCTCGGTTTTTCCCTTCCCCAGACCCCACTCATGTGGGAGCCTCCGGCACTGGGTCTGCCCTTTTTTTTATGTTGCCATCTTGTTGTGAAAAGATATGTCTTATACTCTTATTTGATTATACATTATTTTAATGAACTCATGATTTCTTCATGTGTGTATATATTTCAGTATCAGGTCTTTCTCATGTAGTGTTGTCTAATATCTAGGTTATGTGTTCTTGCAGGCTCTCTTTTGGCAGCAGCACAATTTTTTTGGTGTTGATCTTACACCTTTACACGGTTCAGCATTCCAGGGATACTTTTCACAGGTTACACTGCACAGTTCCATTCTATAATTGTTAACCTATATATATGTTATGTGTTCTTGCTTTTGCTGTCATGAGAAACTAGTAATTTCTTCTACCTTTCTGTGTCGTTGTAAATTGGAACAGTGGGCGTGGATTGGGATAGATATGTATATTGACTACTGAATCGCTAATTGTATTCAATTACTGACGTGACATGATTTGTCCCAGAACTTTTATAGCTGTATTGAACAATTCTTAAGATTTTTCTTCTATTATTATTACTGTTGCCTGGTTCTGTGCTAAAGAGTCTTATTAATTTGAGTGTCTCTTTCTTTTTCCTTGACAAATCTAAATGCCTATTCTATTCTCATGCAGCCTGTTGTGGATGCATTTGACCCAAGATTATTAATTTCTCCGCCAACATATCATACACTTGATTTTACTAGCATGAAGGTAAGCATGGCATGAGATCTAAATTCCATGTGAATTTTCTGATAGATTTCTTGGCTTAATGGAAATGTGACATGCTTATCTTTCTTTTCCAGGAAGAGGAGCTTTACGAGATTGATATTCCTCTGAGTTTTGTAGCATCTGTTGGCACTAGAGTACATGGATTAGCTTGTTGGTTTGATGTATTGTTTAACGGGAGGTCAGTATATCTCAGTATATACTGGAAATTCTGTTGACTAGTAATATTTGCAGAGTCGCAGCACCCCTTTAGATTTGTCTTCCACTATTCTAAATCTGCTAAATCTGCTATGCTGTACTGCAGCACTGTGCAAAGGTGGCTTAGCACTGCTCCAGGATCCCCTACCACTCATTGGTACCAACTGCGATGTGTGCTTTCACAGCCATTGTATGTCATGGCTGGTCAAGAAATAACTGGTCGTCTTCATCTCGTAGCCCATAGTTCTCAGAGCTACACAATATACTTGACAATGTCAGGTTAGGCTCTCTCCCTATTTTCCATTTCTCCAGTCTTGTATATTTGAAGGTTATAGTTCTTATGCTCATTTGATTCTTACTTGAAGCTAAAATGTGGGGTGTGGGTGCGGAGCAAGGCGGTATCCTACAGACATCTACTGGAAAACTTGAACTCAAGGAACCATACTACAGGTTGTCTCAGCCGCAATCCTACATGTTGCCACAAGATCAACAGCAGCAGCAATTGCCATCTTTGCAGCCACAGGTACGATGTACCTTCGCATTGTAGCAGCAGTTATTATTTCCAAATTCTGTCTCTGACCTTCCAGAACATGGTTCATCATCCTACACCTAACTCTGAAGCAGTTCGGTTGTTGTCCTGCTGTGCAGTACATCCCATGTGCATGCACAGCAGGCCAACAGTACCGTGCTTCAGAGCTACACAAGGCTTGATAGTAGCGCGACTCTTATTAGTACAAGTCACTTGAGGGAAAATCTTAGAAAATGCTTGTGATGTTCGTATCATACTGGACATGTTTCAGTACTACAGTATAGCAACACTGGTTTCTGCCTGCTCCAGGATCATCACAATAGACAAAAGTTTTTTCTTGTGGTTAGGCATTGACATAAGGTCATGATTTGATGATTAGGGTTCCACGTCCCACATTTTTTTGTTTGTGTTTTGTTGGGTGGAGGGGTATGGTACATTATTGGAATTTGGGTGGATATTTTGCTTGAGAATTACGTATGGTTCTTTGGGCAGAGAAAAAAAACTTGCATCCCTAGTTATAATCGAAATTTCAGCTTTCGACCAGCATTATTTTGCTGCATTACGTATGTTATTATTGTAACATTTATATTTGCAAACAGGGATCAGAGCAGCAGATGCAGGAAGGGCTTAGCCCAGGCATCACGATAGACCAAGACCAAGATTGCGGCCTCAACTAGTAGACAGCCTGAAGAACCTGAGTTGTATGCTCTGATTCCAGCAACGAGCTCAGGTCTGTACAAGTACAACAGTTCAGAGTGCTCCATAGCCTATGTTGTCAGGCGTTAGCTGCCAAATGCTAACATCACGTTCGAGGTGTACGAGACCTTTCCTGAGTTGTGCAGCTGCAGCTATAACTGCGGTCGCGCCTGCTCCGTTACTTACGAGGGAGTCGAAAAAGGCAATTATAAAGTGTATTTGGTTTCAGGTAAAGTGAAGAGCGAAGGCATCTAACAAGGACGGGTGTATGTTGTTTGATATATTCTTGTTAGAAATTAATTTATTTTCATGTTAAGCATGTTTGATTCAATTGGCTTCATACTGCTCGTGCGTCTTGTCGTGGCGTATCTGCATGCGCCAAATCTTAAGTATGTTTGGTTCCATTCGCAGTTTGTTCTGGTCCCTACTGTGCCAACGTCCGTTGGTATGCCAGGCATGTGGAATCATCGTGGCCTGGTCCATAGCTTCTGGCATAATTTGAGATCCAGTAGTGCTTAGTGCTTGCAAGTTGTGATGAAGATATTTCTGATGGGGGCTCTAATCTAATTCGAGACCACTCTTGTGTTACCGAGCCCGAGCTCGCTGAAGCCTGGATCCGATCTTTGGAAGTTGGAGAAGCAGCAGGAGTCCGACACGTGAGTCCGCGCAGGACGGTCTGTAGATCGCGGAGTGCATCAAACGCCGGCAATGGAATCTCCCCGTCCCAGCCTGCGTGCTTCCACCAACTTTGAGGGTGATATCCTTGCGTACAATTCGTCAGTAGTCTTCGTAACCGCGCCGCAGCAGCAGCTTGACCATGGCCTTTAGTTACGAATTTTTTTTGAAAATGGTGTACTTTCGTTATTATTTGGCAATTATTGTTCAATCATAGTTTAATTAGACTTAAAAGATTCATCTCGTGAATCTTGTCTAAACTGTGTAATTAGTTTTATTTTTTTATTTATATTTAATGTTTTATACATACATCAAAGATTCGATATATTCGATATGACGAAAAAATTTTACAAAATTTTGGGTACTACACAGGCGTCTCGTCGTTGCCAGCAGCTTTCAAGTACAATCTGTCAATGTTGTCAAGAAAAAAGTACAATCTGTCAACGGTCCTATTTAAAAATTCTGTCGATCGAACATGTCGCCAAATCTTCTGTTCCTTAACCCCAAAGCCAAATTGCAGGGTCAAAGCCTCTGTTCCTTAAACCCAAAGCAAAATTGCAGGGCCAAAGAAGGTTCAAAATAGAGAAATCCCAACAAGATAAGCGTGTCGTATAAAATAGAGCAGGTCAAAGAAGTCCCAAAATAGAGAAATCTCTCAAGATAAGCGTGTCTTATGTACTGTACCTTCGTCAATTTATGCTGCATCCCCATCGAAAAAATTCCGAAAAAAATTCTAGAACTCGGTGGCCTACTTATAATAATCGGCTCACGTTATCCAGCCGGGCCTACCAGCGGCCGTGCCCTCCAACTTGAACCACTATGGTGTGCACATAGATCGATCTGAGCGATTCCGCGAGTAAAAGATACAGAGCGGTTACGGCGTTGGCGACGTGCCCATCAAGGGAGCCCCGACGTGGCGGCCCCGCTCCAGAGTGTTCTGGCGCAGCCTCGACGACGACACCCGCCTCCTATATAGCCCGCCTCTCCGGCCCTTCCGTCTCCTCGTTCTTCCAGCGAAGCAAAAGCAGCCGAATCGTATCGTCTCGCCTGTTCAGTTCTCTTCTCCCCTCCCCGCAGCCCAGCTTCCCGACCAGGTTCCAGAGAAGCCAACCAACCCCCGTCCGGTTCGCGCGATGGCGGAGGAGCAGCCCAACCCCAACCCCCAGCCGCAGCAAGCGGTAAGTGTGATCCCTCCCTACGCTCCTCGCCTCGATCCGGACCTGAATTCGGAGGTTGATTGATTTGTTTTTTTTTTTTTTTTTTTTTGGTTTGGTTTTGGTCTGATCTGTTGGTGTGCCGTCCACAGGAGGAGAGGGAGGTTGTTGTGGAGCAGCAGCCGAGGAGGGCCCCGAAGCTGAGGTACCTAGACTTCGTCCAGGTGGCGGCGGCGCAGGCCTCGGTGTACCTCGCGGGGCTCTACGGCCTCGCCAAGGACCACGCCGGCCCGCTCCGCCCCGGCGTCGACGCCGTCGAGTCCACCGTCAAGGGTGTCGTCGGCCCCGTCTACGCCCGCTTCGGCGGCCTGCCCCTCGACGTCCTCGCCTTCGTCGATCGCAAGGTGAGTCGCGTCGCGTGCCCTGTCACCGATCCCTACGCCCCTGCGCACGCTTGGAGGCGGTTTCACGAACCTCGCCGGCGTCCGGACCCACTCCCGCCGTGCGGTGCACGGCACTAGGCACAGTACAGCTGCGGCCATTTGGATTGGATGGTTCTGGTCGCCGATTAGATATTTTCCTTCCCGTATGCGGTGTACGATCGTGAGCTGTGTGCGGCTCAGCTGAGCTGCGGCCCCAACACTAGAGGGGCCGTGTGCGGGGGTGACTTCGGTGGCAGATTCCTTAGATTCCGGCGCATGTTAAGACTGTCTCCGACGAGTGACTGACGCACTCAATCCCAAAATGGAATGGATAGGAACAGACCTAAAATCAGCATCTAACAAAGGACCTACAGAGGAGATCTATTTTGTGTCGTTTAGAGGACAACAGAATTAGCAAGGTTTTTTCGATGAATCAAATTAGCAAGTGTTAAATCTTGGGATTCCTTATTATTGGTAATAATTACTCCAATAATCGTTGTTCATCTGTTTGTGCAATCACCGTGTTGTGTGTTCTCCGTTTCCTTGCTGACCTTGGCGCAACAACAATGGCCGCAGGTGGACGACACGGTGCACGAGGTGGACAAGCACCTACCGGGCGCGCTGAAGGCTGCGTCGGCGCGTGCGTACGCGGTGGCGCGGGGCGTGCCGGAGGTGGCGCGCGAGCTTGCCGCGGAGGCGCAGCAGTCGGGCGTGAAGGGCGCGGCCCGCGCGGCGCTCGCCAAGGCGGAGCCCGTGGCGCGGGACGTGTACGGCCGCGTGGAGCCCGTGGCGAGGGACCTGTACGTGCGGTACGAGCCCGCGGCGGAGCACCTGGCCGTCTCCGCCTGGCGCTCGCTCAACGGCCTGCCGGTGTTCCCGCACGTCGCGCAGATCATCGTCCCCACCGCCGCGCACTGGGCCCAGAAGTACAACAGGGCGGTCGTCGCCGCGGCCGAGCGGGGCTACGCCGGGGCCAAGTACCTCCCTGCCATCCCCACCGAGCGCATCGCCAAGGTGTTCTCGTCGTCGCCGGAGGCAGAGCCGCTGGCCGAGTCCCAGTAGTTTGTGCGCGTCATGCCGGCAGGAGGGTAGTGCGTCGTTCACCGAATGATGATGTGTGGTGGTGACCTCTGGATCGATTGCCCTCGAACTGCAGCACTGAATAAGGAAGGGAGAATCCGGGGGCTAAAGATGGTGGTATGGTAGTGGTGTTGTACTAGAAGCGTGATGGAACGATTTGTCATGGACCATGATGCTGATGCTGTGTTCCACTAGCTCTGCTTCTTGTGGGGCTCAACTGCTCTGCTTCTTGCTTTTGTATATAAAGTCGTTCGATGTCGCAATCCCTTGTTAATCTGCTGCAGTTTGGTTGTTCTGTTTGTGGCTAATGTTTGTCCGGTTCGTTTGACTTATAAGTCGTATTTTTGAAAGTGAACGAACAGTATTTTTTTCTTATAATAAATTATCTAACAATATTTTCAGTAATGGTTTATTAGTCAAACGAATAGGATAATGATTTAAGGGTCCGATTGGTATGGATTCTGAGGCGGATTCTGAGGCGGCTCCTGGAGTAGTTTTTCGGTTCCCTCTGTCAAACGGCCAGAAACGGACCGGCTATCTCCGTATTTCACGCTCTCACATGCCAGTGTCGTCGGTTGGAGCCAAAAAAAATCGAGCTGGGTCCTGGGCCGATTTGCCTCGGGTGTAGGTGTGGGCGCACCCGAAGACGACGGGCGTGGACGAAGACGGCCACCGGGCGCGGAGAAGACGGCCGTGGTCGCTGGTCGCGGAGGAGACGGGCGTGGAGAAGACGGCCGCCAGGGGTCGCCGCGCCGGCAAGGGCGGTGCGGAGGTGCGGCCACGACCTGTGGCCGAGACGACGCTCGAGGCCGCAGAGCTGGCTTTTGGCCAGCGAACGGCGATGGAAGAGAACCAGCGACGCGTGGTTGGTTGGATGAGGAGAGAGAAATAGTAAGAGATAAGGGAGGAGAAAATAAAATAAAGGAAAGAGAGAGCAAAATAAAATAAAGAGAAATAGAAAAGAAAAAAAAGAAAAGGGTATCATTGTCATTTCATCTTTTTATCTGTCAGGAGAAACTGTTTAACCAAACGATTCACAAAAAGTGCTTCAGCTCCTCTAGTGAATCTGCTCTACAGTTGAATCTACGACTGAAGCTATTTTGACTGGGGCGGAGCTCTACCAAACAGTAGGGTTGAAAACGGTCGAGAACGGTCGGGAAAACACCGTAACCATTCCCGCTCCTGCATTATATGACCGGGAACGGTAGCGGGACGGGAAAGCCGGACGGGAAAACGAATTCGATATTACGGGATATCGGAAATGGAATACTTCGATCGGGAACATGTCGATTACGATCGGGAATCGATAACACAAAAACGGGAACGTCGATATACATGTAACCACTTAAAACAGTTAGCTCGACGCAATAATTGCAACCATGCATATACGGATGAAAGCAACACAGAATGATAGCAACATATCCACACCACAGCTTGAGTGCTCGACAGAATGACAGGTTGACAGCAACACAGAACACACGGGCTTCTGCCAAGAGAAGTGGAAATGCAGAGATTATCACATCAGCACAACTGACCTCGTCGAATGCACGATCTCGAACGCGCTCACGTCCTTGTAACGGACTTCGTGAGCACCTCCGACGCCCTCACCCGGGAGAAGCCACCCCAAAGTCGCAACAACAAATGTAAAATGAGACAACGATAAGCCCAACGACCGACATCATTTCGCCATCTCCAAATCAATCCCACCGAGCCTTGAACTCACCTATGGATCCGGCTCTTCATCGACCCCTCCGCGTGCGCTCCGAACCCGATCCACGCCTGCTCATCCGCAAATCCAAACCAATCCATCGAAAAAACCAAATGCGGGCGACGCCACGGGTACCCGCACGAAGCGTGGCGTTGTGGGGGAGGCGGCACCTTGTCGGCCGACAAAGTCAACGACACCTCGGCCTTCTCCGGCGCCGCGTCACGGCCCGGAGGAGATGCCGCGCCGAGATCCCTTAGAGTCGGGACGGCGGGAGGGCGCCATCGGCAGCGGACGCTGCGGCGGAGGCGCGCGGGAGGGCAAAGCACCAGGCGCGGCCCTTGACGGGGAAGACGACGACGCGGGCCTGCATCGCGCGGCACGACGCGGCGAGGTGGGAGTGGGAGCAACCGAGCAAGGGCAGGGGGCACGGCGCGGGAGGCGGCGGCGTGGGGAGGCCTTAAAAACGGGAATTTCCCGCGGGCGTTTTCTCGTACAAATACGGGATCCGCTAATTCGGTCGGGAAAATACTCTAACCGATTTCGATCCTGGATTCGCCGTATTTTCCCGGATTTCTTCCCGAATCCGTTTTTTCCCGAGAAAATGATATCCGGTCGGGAATTCCGGTATTCGGTGCCGGTCGGTACGGGAGTTGGGTTTTCTGATGGATTGGTTTGGATTTGCAGATGAACAGGGCGTGGATCAGGTTCGGGAGCGCGCCGGAGGGGTCGATGAAGAGCCGGATCCATAGGTGAGTTCAAGGCTCAGCTGGGATTGATTTGGAGATGGCGAAATGATGCCGGGTCGTTGTAGGGTCAAGATGGCGGACTAGAGTGGGGGGTGAATAGTCTTTTCTAAAATTAATCACGTCGGCTAACTGATATAAATGCGGAATTAAAACAATCGGTCTAGCTAAGGCTACACCCCTCTATATATGCTCACTAGCATCTTGCAAAGATACTAATTATGCAACTAAGGTGCCGGGCTAGCTAGAGCTCTCCTAAACAATTCTAGGAGCAAGGTCACACAAACCTATGCCACTAGTACTTTAAGCAACAAGGGAGCTCCTACACATGTTAATAAGCAAAAGCACAAAGCCAACTAAGCTCACTAGCAAAGCTCAATAACAAGGCAACCAATGCCTAATTAGAGAGCGCAAATACTTAGCTACACAAACTAAGCAATGTGACTAACAAGGTTACTAAAACTAAATTAGCCACGCAAGGGAGCTACTTCTATGCTACACAAGCAAGAAGGTAACTAGTAAGCTACACAAGCTAACTAATTACAAGAGCAACTACACAAGCTTAATATGTATAAAAGTAATTGCAAGCTTGTGTAATGGGGATGCAAACCAACGGGAAGAACAAGGTTGACACGATGATTTTTCTTCCGAGGTTCACGTGTTTGCCAACACGCTAGTCCCCGTTGTGTCGACCGCTCACTTGGTGGTTCGGCGGCTAATTAGCATCACACGCTAAGCCCGCACGTCGGGCGCCTGCAAGAACCTACCCCTTGAGTGAGGGTAGCTCAATGACACGCTTTACTAGAGTTGCTCTTCGCGGCTCCCGCGGGGCGAGCACTATGCCCCTCACAAGCACTTCTCCGGAGCGCTGCACAAGCTTCTCGCGGGCTTCCACGGAGACCACCACCAAGCCGTCTAGGAGGTGGCAACCTCCAAGAGTAAGAAGCACCACCGGCTTGCAACTCGATCACCTAGTGCCACTCGATGCAACCTCACGATGCAATCGCACTAGAATCGTTCACTCACACAATCGGATGATCACTATCAAGTATGTGTGAGATGGAGGGCTCCTAAGCACTCTCAAGCATGGACACAAAGTCCCCCAAGGTGCTCCACACCAGCCATGGTCGAGGGCCACTTCTATTTATAGCCCCAAGGGCTAAACTAGCCGTTACCCCTTCACTGGGCAAAAGTCGGGCTGACCGGACGCTCCGGTCGGGCTGACCGGACGCTGGACCTCAGCGTCCGGTTGTCCGCAGACGGCCACGCGTCCCGATCCCAACGATCACTTGACCTGACCGGACGCAGCGGTAAAACTGACCGGACGCATCAGTTAGAAAGTGACCGGACGCCGGACTTCAGCGTCCGGTCGTTTCCAGTAAGCTCCCCGAGGCGTATTTCTTCGACCGGACGCGTCCAGTCCACTTTGACCGGACACAGACCAGTGTCCGGTGCAATACCCTCGATACAGTGCAGACCCGTCAGTTTGACCGGACGCAGCCTTTCAGCGTCCGGTCGCTGCATGACCCAGCATCTTCGCGATCAACTCGTTTTCACTTCTAACTTCTTCATCCTTGCTCCAATGTGCCAACCACAAGAATTTACATCCGGCGCAATAGAAAATAGGCATTTCATTTTCCCGAAAGCGCCGAATCCCGCCGAGCTTTGTAAATGTGCCAACACCACCAAGTGTACACCACCATGTGTATGTGTGTTAGCTTTTCACAATCATTTCCCAAAGGATGTTAGCCACTCAACTTGCCACGCCACTCGATCCTAGCGACGATGCAAAGTTAGATCACTCGAGTGGCACTAGATGACCGATATGCAAACAAGTTTGCCCCTCTTGATAGTACGACCATCTATCCTAAACCCGGTCATATACTTCTCTACACACCTATGACTGGTGAAATGAAATGCCCTAGGTTATACCTTTGCCTTACGCATTCTATTCCATCTCCTCCAATGTCGATGCAACACATTCACCAACATGATCAACAATGATATGATCCACTTTATATCATCACGTGATCATATTGGTTCATCGATCTTGACTTCACTTGCTCTTCACCATTGCCATCGTTCATCGGCGCCAAGTCTTGCTCAAGCTTCACCGCCACGCGGTCCATCACTCCAAAGCCTTCGACTTGCCCTTCATGCTTGCAACCGGTCCATCAAGCCAAGTCTTATCTTAATCTTCTCCACCTTGATCACATGACTCAATGTCATGTCTCATGTGCATTTAAGCTCCTTCATCATCACATGTGTGAGTTTTGCAACATCTCCAAGCCATTGTCACCTTCATGGCATATGTTGCTCACACACATGTACCTGTGGACTAATCACCTGTGTATCTCACGTAAACACAATTAGTCCACCTAGGTTGTTACTCAATTACCAAAACTAAACAAGGACCTTTCAGTTGTTGGGCTTATGCGCCGTCTGTTTTCTGTTTGTTGCAGCTTCGGGCTGAAGCTACTCTCCCGGGTGAGGACGTCGGAGGTGCTCCTGAAGTCCGTTACCAAGGACGT